AGTCACGCATGTCGCATAGCACGCTCTTTCAACGAACACATTAACGATAAATATCGCATAAAGATATTGCATACGGGTAACAATATATATATATATATATATATATATATATATATATACATATTTATTATGGCGATTATAGTTACATTATTTACATTTTTTAGATGGAGTGCGAACGAAAGGATGCCATATCGTCGCTACGTGACGACGAACGCTGCATTTTTAACTGATCATGCGACTATCCTATAGCCGCGCGATCTTTCCGTTGCACGCGACGCGATGGAAAAGTGGATGAGCAGTTGAATAAAATGTAGATCGTATGAATAAGCAAAACGCGACTGTTCTAGCCGCATCGATACTTATTGCGAATTTAGTGCAAGTCGATATTCTCATATACGTGGATTATCAGGCATAACTTTGCGAGTTATTCTAGTTTCCATTACACACTACATTGTAAAAATTTCATCATTAATTAATTAAATTGACTACATAAATGTGAATCAAAGGAGAAGAATATAGTGTATCATGTAATTTCGATATAAAAAGCGATATAAAAAAAAGAATCATCCTTAATTATTATATCCATAAAAGAGCAGATGACTAGAAAATTTTCGCAAATTTGAATTCCTCACAATTATATCAAACTTGTTAATAAATAAAGGATATCACAGAATTTGCGCTCTGACGAATTTAACTCTAAATTTGTTATTATATCGCGCATTTCAATCCGCATCGACGAAACCGGGTGATAAACCGTCTCGCAATTTCATGCATACGTCATCAGGAATGGTAGGAATCGTCGACAGTGAGCGTCACGTGCGATGTACGTTGGGGTCGTCGCCGAAATACTGGGAAATTCTCCCGTTATTCCTAGACGCCTACGAGCGGTCCATGAATTCCAACAGAGAGGCCGCCGTCGGCATTTAGGAATTATGCATCAATCGATCGATCGACGATACCAATAAAGGTGATCGCGCCGAACGGCTCGTTTTATCATTCCAACGAAATTTAATATTTTGATATGTAATATCAGTTAAAGAAGGAATTAAAAATGCATAATAAAATATAAATTTGACTACGATGATTTAAATTTTCTTTTAAATATTATATTATATTATATAATATATTATATTATATTATATTATATAAATTATATTATATTATATTATATTATATCATATTATAATTTTTAAATATTATATTCCAATTGTTTGTAATATTAGAAAAAATTTATATTTATATCGTAAATAAATTATAAAATAAATTTCATATAAAAATACATAAACATTTAATTTTTTATATGCCCCAGAAAATTTTCTACAATTTTAATTTCCCTTTATTTCCATTTAATCAATTTTATCTAGTTAAGAAAAATTAATATTCAACGATTGTTGGGTATAAAATACAGGATGGAAGATTAATTAATTTTAATTTGTTCAGGCATGGAATTATCGGTTTCCATCTGTCAGAAATGGACAGTGTAATACTCTCTTCTATGCTAAAAGTCCCGCCTTAGACACAAAGTTGCACGCTTCATTGTCCACGTGCTTTCTCACGTGACGCTCGCACCTGATCGAGCGTATCAATTTTCCAGCGAGTCATGACTTTGCTGAAGAATCCCCGGGTGGGACTTGATTATGGCGCGTGAATCGATCGTGTGAAACGACGAGGGGAGAAATGAAAAATGATAGCCCCGATGGTTGCGTTTTGTCTTCTTACGTGCGTCCGGATTTTCGGTTTTAAAAGCCGTTAAACATCGCATCGGAGTCACGTCAATGATTCAGTATTTACGTACAATGCCGGTGAAATTGGCTCCAAAGACTCCATCCGTCGATGGATTCATATAAGACGCCCAAAACGTTTTCTCGCGCGCGCTTTCACGAGCCCACACCCTCACACGTGGAAACCATTTGGGACCGCGACCCTCAAAATGCAACGAAAAACGTGAGCCCCGCAGCGGCACGCAATTTCGCGCTTTTCATTCTTCATTTAGCTTAACTAATCGTGTACGCCACGCGAATTCTCGTGACAATGTAACGCAATTTTTATCGATTATCGATTTTTCAATCTCTCGTGAGCGTACTGATTTATTTATGACTACATGCGTAAAAGAATGTAAAGTAAAAGCGCTAAAAATGATGACTAATATCATGCATGAGAGGGAAGAAATAGGATCATTTCTTTTGTAGGTACGGTTCGCGCGAATACGTTAAGTATGCATGAGAGTTCATTAGAATTTAATTATCATAGCCTAGAGAATACCGGCACGTTGTTAATTACTATTGTGACCTCTGCTAAGATCTTAATGATACTGTTAAGAATTAAGTTTTTTTCATAATGAAGAGAAAGAGAAAAAGAATCATGTAGTAAATTAGCAATGTGTTATAAAGAATTTGTTTTGTTTTGAATAACTTATATATCGAGAAACATAATGTGTTTGAAATATTTAATTATCTAGATTAGACAACAAAGTAATTGCGAGAAAATTGCGAATCTTCGTTTAATTATACAATATATAATATGAAAAATATATTCTTATATATTGTATTATTTCGATACATCTTAAACATTATATTATGTAGACACATTTTAATCGAATGAATACGTTTGAATAAATACAATTCGAATTATGTTTAAAATTATACATATAATTTTGCAATTTAATTAATTTTAATTGCTTTTAATTATTCACCAATCATAATTATATTGTAATTTAATCACATCTAAATTAAATAACTACGTAAAATCTAAATTTTGAAATTGTAATATTTTCCTCAAAATATATATTTATTGAATAAAATATTTGGAAACTTGCTCTTCCTCCCTTTTTCTCTTTCTCTTTAGTATTTTTATCACAAAATTTTGCAGTTGTAATAAAATCATAATATTGTACAACAATAAATATAAGCTTTGGAATAATACTTAAAATAGCGGCACTACATAAATAATTTATTTACTTGAATTGTGGCAATGCATGTGTATATGTCGTAATGTCAGCACACATTTTTTTGCATATTGAGGTGTCTCGAATGCCAAACGTCAAGTGCCACGAACGCGCGTTGCAGTCGGTCTGCGGTTTTACGCATTAGAGTATTTAAATTTTATCGACACGGCTCACGAGTGTCTCGTCCGGTCAAAAACCCACGAAAGCGGCATTTCGCCGTTTCATTGTCCATACAACGCGATCTTCTCAAGGAAGAATATGCATCCCCGTCGTAAACCGAACATACAAACGACGTGACCCTCGCGAAAGATACGCGACGTATAATTCCTGGTGCACGCACGCATATATTACTATACTGCGGTTATCACACCGCCGCGTGTTTCACCTACTCTTGTTTTTTTTCTCTCTGTTTTTTTTTCTTTTTTTTTTTTGTTCAACGTGTAAATGGATTTTATGCCGTGGGTTCGTTGAACCGTCCGTCGCCGCTGCCGGCGCGTTATACTTGATCGTTAAAATGGGAAATACCCGGCGACCATGCAACGTAATGAAGACTGCACATATACACATGTATTGTCCTTCTCTGTTCTCCTCTCTTCCCTGTTGGTGTATTACGTGATACCTGACTAGTTGTCTGCAATATTTACGTGCGCGATACGAAATGTAGAGATCCATGTAAAATGGATTAGATCAAAGATATTTCTCGGTATCGCTCCACGTAATCAATTTGTCACTTACATCCGGTTGTACCAATATCTGATTCATTCTTCTGAGATACATTGATTTATTTATTGGATCCAAAATTATATAAATTTCACCTTAACATCGGCAAAAGCTTTATTTTATTTAAATCAATGTTTTATGATAAAATCTAAAAACAGTGAGTTTTGCATTTTTATATAATTTGAATCTACATTTTTTAAATTTTCTTTTTAAATTTATGTAAAATTAACAGATTTTAAACTTTGCAAAATTTGAATTTCTGTTCTCTCTTGTTTACTTTGCGGCAAAAATAATTATGCGCTTGTACATATTTATTTTTATTTGTTTTAAATAATTAATTTCAATTGCTTTTTATAATTAAATCGATAATAAATTAAGCAAATTAAAATAATACTACATTATTAATGTAATTTTTAATCTTTTTTTAATTAACTTGAAGCTTGTTCCTTATCTACATAATGAATATACATTCATATATACATATTTACAAATTTAGTTTACATGAGTACAACCGGACGTTAATTATTATAAATCTGTTATATTTTTCAAAATAATTCACATTGTTATATCTATCATTAATTTAGTGTATTTTTTATTAATTCTCAATTGATTCAAAATTACATCATATGAATTTGAAAAAGGACTTCTCTTATATTATCATGTTTTATTATTATAAATTAATAGATTTGAGTTTATTTTTTCTACCTTTTTCAATTTCTTTTCAATTTTCTCAATATTTATAAAATCAGACTTTTTTCTACCTTTTTCAATTTCTTTTCAATTTTCTCAATATTTATAAAATCAGACTTTTTATTTTTAAAAAAATTTTTTTAGAAATAAAAAGTCTGATTTTATAAATATTGAGAAAATTGAAAAGAAATTGAAAAAGGTAGAAAAAATAAACTCAAATCTATTAATTTATAATAATAAAACATGATATTATAAGAGAAGTCCTTTTTCAAATTCATATGATGTAATTTTGAATTAATTGAGAATTTAAACTTATAAAACTTTTTAATATTATAAATATATTATTACTTTAAAATTCACATGAATTCATTGAGATTTAATGCTATTTTTATCTCTTTTAATTGATGAAATTTTTCTTTACAAAAGTGATTCATTACTATTGGATGTAAATATCATTATTCACGCATTATTGTTACATAGCTTGCTTCCAATTAAAAAATATACATCCAATATTATTTGTTTTTCTTTGCCATAGAGAAAATGACGCTTCAAATAATATAGAGATATATTTAAAAGAGATTTAAATAGAGATATATTTAAAGTAATATAGAAATATATTTTGATGTATGAAAGTAAATCTACTCACCAGATGCTGCGTGTCACCATAACCCTTTCTGCCTCAATGGTCGTCGATGGTCCCTGACGAGTCTGCTCCTCTTCCAATTCGACTCCATATAAGGAAAATTCACTCACTGACACGAACTTAGAAACACAGTTGATTAGAGACACTAATGACACAGTATTCACCTACGTGTGCGATGTATAGAATCCGTGGAGAATACGAGGCGAATTTCATTTATGGGACGCGTGACGTAAAAACATGGCAGCGAAATTCATTATGCAACTACTTGTTGAACGCACGAGACATGTCTCATGAGATGACGATTAATTACGATCTCATTAATATACATACGTATTAGGATTCACTCTCGATATGGAAATTCACGGCTGCCGATACCTCTCGGACACCGCGAGACACTCGACTGAACAGAAGGCGTCATTTGATCCGGCACGACCGACGTGACGTGTCCTTCCGCGTCACGATTATATGTAAACAACTTCGCGTCGTCCCGTAACCGGCACGAATAAATCTTTCACATAGCACACATATACATACGCAATTACGTTGTATTATGCCGCGAATCTTTCGTACTTGTTATTATCGTCGTACATATTATTTATTATTGTCACGTCTTTCTCAATTAATGCGAAAATTGTACTCACTTTTCGGAGAATAAAACAAGCGTCGCGCACCCGGCTCGCGATGTTTCGTGTGACGTCACGAACATAAAAATTATATAGAGCGGAGATATTCGCGGACGGAAAGATGCGATTTGATTGGTGCTGACAAAGCGGCCAATAGAAAGTTTCGATGACTGCACTTGCACTTCACATAATAAATAAACGCGTTGCACGCACACATATATATGTAAGTATTATGTTGTATTACGCGATACGAATGTTTCGTACACGATTATTGTATATCGTGTCCTTCTTAATTAGCGCACACCTGAAATTTACTCGATATAATCGAATTATACACAAGGTTTACTTTTAACGAGAATAGACTACCTTTCGCACGCGAGATACACTCTCGAATGAACAGAAAGCGTCACTTGATCCGAACATAACACGACGCGTCCCAACCTTCCCGAGTCTCTTGACACTTGATATGTATGTATAAACAACTTTGGTAACCGGTAGAAATAAATATATCCCGTTCATGTATATACAGGATGTTTCAGACCACCCGTATCACCCATTTAAAAATTAGAAAAGTGGTTATTTCACAAAAGTAAAAACATTTTCTTTAAATCGGGTGCGCTCTATCGAATGGTGATATTTTCAACTTCCGGTTCCGGAAATAGGCGATTCGGACCGGAAGTGCATTTTTAATGGAGCCTATTTTTCATTGCATATTCTTGTAGTTTACCTCGAGAGCTTTCCAAAATACTATAATAAATTATTTTTCCACGAAGTACTTTTCGAGTTATGAGGTTTGAAATCATTTCTTAATTTTACATAAACCATAAAATATCTTGTAAAATATTGATTTTTCGATTATCTTATCTTAATATTTTTATGTACAAAATAATGAAAGGAATCAATTGGTGTAAAGAAAACACATAGTTGTTTCTAAGAAAAAATATGTAATTTGCAATTAACAATTCCATATTTTTTCTTAGAAACAACTGTATGTTTTCTCTCTCGAGGTAAGCTACAAGAATATGCAATGAAAAATAGCCTCCATTTAAAAAAATGCACTTCCGATCTGAATCGCCTATTTCCGGCCAGAACCAAAAGTTTAAAATATCACCATTCGATAGAGCGCACCCGATTTATAAAGAAAATGTTTTTACTTTTTTGAAATAACCACTTCTCTAGTTTTTAAATGGGGTATGGGTGAAATACCCTGTATATAATTATATTTCATGCGATGTGAATGACGTCACAGCCATAGACCTAATGAATGTAGCGTTTTTTATTCTTGCAAGGATAATATACATCTAGATAAGCCTACGTATCATATAAATATGCACAGAGAAAATTGACCAATCAAGTATCTAATATATAGGATGTTATATTGCTACCTTTTTTGTCACAATTTCTATTTTTTGCCTATCTAATGATAGCTTACACATTGCTCATTATCAGCGCGAGTTCTGATTGGCTTTCTGCTTTTTTGCCGAGATGTAAATGCGCCCTTAGACGAGTGATTGACTGATTTTTCTTATCCACTACGCGTCTATATAAATTTGTGTAGCATAAACTTTCAACGTATTGCACAATAAAAGGTGAGCGTTTTTTCTCGTTATTTTTTTTTTCCTATATTATAGAATATTGATCAAAGCTTTTTTCCTTTTTTACTTATCCATTTATTACTTCACATTATGTCTACAGCGGAAAGAAGCAAGTACTATAAATGTGAAAACGATTACCAGCGATAAACCGAATCCCGATCTGGTGCGGTGTGTATATAAAATAGGACAGCAAACCATAATGTACGTATTGTGAAAATGTGGCTAATTATTGTCGTGTATGTTTAATTAATATATAATAGTCTTGTCGACACGCACACAACTTTATCGGTAAATAAAGCTAATATAAATATCACATAAACAAGCATAAATATTTTTAAAATCTTCAAAATCTATATTACCAATTATTTATTTATAAATAGTATATAAATATTTAATTTTAGTATATAAATATTAAAATTATTAACAGAAAAAAATGCCAAAATAATGTAAATAAATAGAGTAGAAAGTCAATTAAAATTTTATTTAAGACGAATATCAAATAATTAAAGAAGTCTCAAAGAAATTTGCTTTCATATATATACATATGTATATATAATATTCCTTAACACAATGTACAGTCTATAAACTTTCTCATCGTATAAAGTACAATTTTATAAAACACTTTATCACTTATTGTTCTAACAGTGTTCATTTTGTGCTGCGTCAATCGAAATCTCGCCCATTTTCATAATATTTAAATGTGGCTCATTGCGCGCCCATAAGTGTACTGCGAAGTTCGCGTCACGCGCCGTGACGTCACAGGGTCACGCGCCGTGACGTCACAGCGTCAAGTATTCGGGGGGTAACTCGCGTCTGTGTCCTCGCGACCTTCGCTCGGTTGAGACGACGGAATTATCGCGTACGAAAAATCATCGCAGTATCGTAAATATCTCGAGTGGAGTGCGCTAATTAAAAGGTACGCGAGAATACGTGTGCTACTTTATTAATTAGGATCGTGATACATAAGATACTGCGTATGTGCGTGTCGTATATCCATGTCGCGTATCGAGTTACATGAAGTTGCTCCTCTTTCCTCTCTCGCCGAAAGTCCTTTCCGAGAGGTTAGATCGCGTCGCATCGGGACCTGGCATCAAATTCCGTCTTCTTTTCGTTTATAAAGTGATTTTCGCGCTCGGGAAAGTGTCGGGAATGCGAATCTAATGTCTCGTAGCACGTGTAATAAATGTGCGTCGTGACGATTATCCGTTTTCTTTGCACGAGATGTTCGCATGGTTGACGATTAGGTTACGTTCGTGTTAAAATTCGCAGGTCAAGAAGATCGGCTAAAATGTACTTTTAGAGACTCAGAGTGACGCTGACAAGTTAAGAATCGGGAGTGCGAATTTATCATCGATTATCGTAGAAAGGTAATAAAATAATACGATTAATCACGATTTTATAATGTCCAGTAATGACATAATAAAGTATGCGTTTATTTCGCATTATGTTGATTAAGTATTAATTATGGCAAAATCGTATTGTACTCGTAATCGATGTTTTTCATGTGTTTTGTAGATTAAATTGCGCATGTGAATGTTCGTCGGGAGTGTCGTGCTGTATCAGTAAATACGCGCGTAATTAACTGTGGTTTTGATCGTTTCGCATCTGTGAGTGAGTGCCTTTCTGATGAAGAGCCAGACGGAGAAAAATTCATGAATAATATATTCAGCGAGAGGGATTATAACGACGATAAGCGACTGTGAGTAAATTCATTTAATATTCTTCCCTGTTTAAATATTGTTTATTAATGCTTAATGATCTACTGCATATGTAAACGAATTTTGAGAATATTGCACTTTGCCAAATTTATAAATATTTTAATTTGGAGACTTAATACGATCTCAAAATTAATTTTGCTAAATCAGTAATTTTATGTAAGATTTTATTAGTTATTTTTTGATTGCATTTTTGGAATTTTTCTCATTTATTATTTTTCTTTTGTTACTCTGATTAAATATATCTTTATAATTTTAAATGTTGTTTAAAGATAAAAGTTACAAAGGAGATAAAATTTTTAAAACGAAAACTGAATTTTTTACTATAAAAAATAATGATTTTTAGAAAAATATTTTGGAAAATATAGCAGTTTTAGCAGTGCAGTAAATCATATAGCATATTTTTGTATTTGTATAATTTATAAATAATTATTTATTTGTGATGATCTAATATTATTGCACTGAAATTTCGCACACAATAGTTTCATGTGACAAATAATAATTGATAGAAGTAGTAATTATAATTTTATTTCTAATGAATCTTTTACAAAATGAATAAATTAAAATCATAAATTGTTAAAAATCTTGAACCTGATTTTCAGATTGTTAGATTCATAGTACAATACATTGAATAAAAGATGCATAAAATTTTTATGAGAATCTGAAAGTGTTTCATTATCAATTTTGGTCTCAATCCGGTTTGCACGAATAATCTAAAATCGTAGTAACGAGAAATCGATACATGATACTGTTTCTTCGTTGATGAAATCCATTTACAGTATTAATCCTTCAATACTGTAAAAACAATGCACATCAAAAGTATCAAATTTTCTATGATGTATTTAATATATTTTATGTATATAAATGCACGTAAATTTTTTACGTTTCTCTATACATATAATTATAGTTTTTAAAATATAAAGAATATTAAAAGGAAAGAGAAAGAGAGAAGATAATGAATTATTATACGATTGTTTTTTTTAAAACAACTTTTCTAAAATTGTTTTTAAAATTCAATTATATAATAATTCATTATTAATCATTATTTATCAACAATTATTAATTATTATTTCTATCAAGTATTAATTCCTTTTTTTATATATAAATTTTTTTTCATACTTTAACCGCAAGAGCTCCAATTGTGTGAAACCGATAGCTTATAAAATAAAAGATTTAAATATATATAGATACGCATGTGCATAAATTTTAAATCGAGAAAGAATATGTACAAGGAGGGTGGTTAATTCGCTTTCGTGAAAAACGCGCGCGGCCAAGGTAATCCTTTGATCTTTCAATTCCGCTGGCGCCCTATCAGCTGCAGGATGAGAACGGTGAGTGGATTAACTCTAGGGAGACAGTAAGAATATTTCAGTTGGCGAATGCGGTCTCATGTTGCGGGATGCGCGCGTGTGACGTTAATTCGGCTTCCAAGCTATTATCTACGCTAGCCGAAACGGTCCTTGTGACATCGTCGTAATGTTTTGCCGCGCATTCGTAATCCCAATCTCGCGATCGTAACGCTGGCAATGTTTATGGGGACTCGTGTACTTTGAAATTGAAACATTTGTTACGACGTAGAAGATTGTTTCCGCAACGCGATCGGCGGGATTCTTAAGTCTGAATAATGCACTGAATTACAGCCTTGGTTTACAGCCTCTATTTATTGCGTTGCTGGTAAAGAGTGAGATAAAGATAATAATAAAGAATTACAAGATAAAAATTTATGATAATAATGCACTTTAAAATGCAAAATTTTATTTTATCTCATTAATATATATCATTAATCTGATATAAAAAATGAATATAAAAATCTAACAATAAGAAGAAGGAAAGAAAGAGGATATATTATTTGATAGGATATTTATTGAAATTTTAAAATTTGAAAGTATGCCCTATACATTTTACACAATTTATAATGTAAATTCGTTAATAAATTCACTTTAACTTCCCAGATATGAGAACTTTTTAACGGCATCATAACTTATTTATATCTTTATTAAATGTTTTTCATTGTTATATGTTAACTTGTTACATAAATTTTATCTCTATTCAATGGCTTTGCGTATCATAATATCTAAAATTTTTATCTTACAATTCTTTTTATATTTATTTGTGATATAAAG